CCTCACCCCAGATTTTGGTATCATCAGCAAATTTGAACAGGTTGCTTTTCACCCCATCGTCCAAATCGCTGATAAAGAAATTGAACAGCGCGGGCTCAAGGACCGAGCCCTGGGGGACTCCGCTGCCCACTTCCCCCCAGGTCGAATATGACCCGTCCACCACCACCCTCTGAGTACAACCCTTCAGCCAATTAGCAATCCATCTGACCGTGTAGGAATCAGTGCCACAGTCGCCTAGTTTTTTAACGAGGATAGAGTGAGAGACAGTGTCAAAGGCCTTGCTGGAGTCCAGAAAGACTACATCCACGGTGACACCTGCATCCTATGCTTTTGTGACCTGATTGTAAAAGGCAATCAGGTTGGTCTGACATGACCTGCCTCTAATGAAACTGTGCTGGTTGCCCCTCAGCATCACCCCTGATGCCGGCCCATCACAGATGTGCTCCTGTGTGATCCAGCATTCTGGTGTGACTCCACATGTCTGCATCCAGCCACACGCCGGTGCAATCTAGTACACAGGGCCTTGTTATCCGGCTCACAGGGTTTCCCACAAGTCCAAAAATGTGGCAGCAAAGGAGAGGCAACTAATGCTGCCACTGCTCCTCTGCTGCCATATTTCTGGACCCTTCGGCAGCCCCATGGGCCAGATGACTTGGCTCTGCAGGCTAGATCTATCCCACAGGCTGGGGGTTAAGCACTCCTGCTTTAGAGAATTTTAACAAACTATATCCTGGTCCTCGGAGTGGCAGGATGTGGACAGTACCCTCATTCCCTGTTTTACTTGTGATAAGTTAAAGTGTGTTTTTGATGTCCCAGACCTTGTGCCTGGTAGTTGTGCATGAGCATGAGGGCTGTTCCCAAAGCTTTCAAAAACAGGTCAGAAAGCGCTTGTTTGGTATGGTCTGGATAAGGATGATCCTGCCTTAAGCAGGGGATTGGCCTGGATGTGATCTCCCGAGGTCCCTTCCCAACCTACTTTTCTACAAACAGAACAGTTGGAGACGTTTCCTCTGGTATCTCCAACCCAGTAAATGGTGGATGGAGTGTCACTGCAATGAAATTTGGCACCCGGGGCAAAGCCCATAGCGGAAGCCTGCCCTCGCCTCATGCACAGATCAGGGAGGCACAACCGCCCCCCCCCTGCTTCCCTGGGAGCGCATGCAGCAGTGGGATCCGCCGCCCTCCCCCTGCCCCCTAGATGAGCCGCTCGCGGCTCTATCTTGTGCCCTACCTGGGCTGGGAAGCACCTGTTGACACCTCTTTGCGTTGACTCTTGGGGCAGTCACCCCACTCACCCTGCCCCCCCCACCCCAATGGCACTGGGTGGATGCCAGGCTGGGTACTGGACTAGAGAGTAGATCACTCTAGGTCAGGGGCAGGCAATTATTTTGGGCAGAGCGCCGCTTACTGAGTTTTGGCAAGCCATTGAGGGCCACATGACAGGCAGCCAGGGGCAGATATATATTAATTTTCTAAATTTTTTAGGGGCCCCACAGACCAGATACAATGGCCTGGTGGACTGCAGGCCACATTTTGCCCACCCCTGCTCTAGTGCTATCCAGTTCGATGCTATTCTTGTATAGCATCCACACTTGCCACAATGCGAGATAGAATACTAGGCTAGATGAACCACTGGTAACCCAGTATGGCACTTCTTATATCCTTATGACTCTTACCCCCATACCCAGGTCAGTGCCTGTATGCTAGTTCTCAGCCATAGCAGATAGAACTGAATAGTGGCAGGGCACTGAAAGCTGTTGTGGTTAAAGGGAGCCTGTTTCTGGTGCGTGGGAGGAGACCGTCAAAGTGAATTACAGAGACTGTGAAATGATGCATGAATATGGAGGTGAAACTAGCTGGGAACTGTAGACAGAAGGTGCTTCTTAATTTGGGACTGACTAAGAGCAACTCCCACTGAGGCCCCACTGGCTCCTGCTCCAGCCTCATGGATCTTTGGTTGGATCCTGTCTGTCATCCCAGCTCTCACTCTCCCTCCCCACCGCAGCATGTGGCAGCTGCTCCAGGCCCTACCTCAATGCAGAGGCAGGTAGGCTCTCCCTTCTCCGTCACTGCGCATTCCCGCCCGGCTCCACAGAACACATTGGCGCACACCTTGGATTTGCTCTTGGGCTCTTCCTGTGAGATACAAAGTAAAAGAAAGAAGGCGGGTTACTCAAAACAGCACGCAGGTCATCCCACTGTCTCTTTGCACTACTATGCTAGTCCCCGTCCTCCTGTCTCCACTGGTGGCAATTCTCATGCACTGCAGAAGAAGAGTACTTATGCTAGATAATTACACAGTTGTTTTCTGGGGTGGGGGTGGGGGGGAGGAGGAGGAGTAGGGCAGGGAAGTTTCTGTCTTGTCCCAGGCAGTTAGTGGTTGGCTTATGCCTCGAGGCAGGCTGATTTATAAACCTCATCCATTTTTATGTCAGTTGGTATCATAGTAAATATTCTTCTTATTCATTCAATCCTTTCCTGAATCCTATTAAACTCCTGGACTCAGTGTCAATCAGAGGCACTGACTGCCATGGGTTAACAGCACCTTTCATAAAATGATGCTAAAATGTCTCATTTTTGATCTGGTTTCCATTTGCTACCTTTTAATTGCATTCAGTAGCTCCGTTTCCTTGTGTTCTGAGAGACTATGACAGCTCACTAGCAAGGGCACTGAGGGAGACCCAGGTCTGGTACCATGTTCTCCCACTGACTTCCTGTGTGACCTCAATTTCCCATCTGTACTTTGGGGTAACAGACCTGCCCCACTTCATCTTTTAAAGGTAAGTACAGTAAATAATACAAGGTTAACAAGGGCTGTGTTAGTACCCTAGGCAAGGTAAGTAGGAGTGTGGGATGGACCTTCTCAACTCCAGCCGTTATTTTACATTTCTTTATCTCCTTGTTTCTATTTCTCTCCCTGCCAACCTAAGAAGCAAGAAGTTTTCTAGTCTCCCATCTGACAGCTGTCCCCTGCCTCAGAAATGATTGCTCTTGTTGTTTATTTCTACAGTGCGCTGTGGAGAGGAGGTGACTGGGACTATACACAGTATTTCAGCTGAGGGTGCCCTACTGATTTATCTAACAGTTTCCTAACATTTCTAGTGCTATTTTCGATCCCATTGTGCATGCACCCTAATAGGTTTTTTTGCTTGTTTTTAAACCACTGCAGCATAATGGAGCTGGCATTTTTATTGAGCTGCCTTTAGTGATTTTTCTTTTTAAAATTACCCTGCACTTCTCTGTAGAAAGTCTCATCTGTCATCCTGCTGCCTGTTCCCCTAACTGGGCTGGGCCCCTCCAAAGAGCTGCATAATACTTTCTTCACTGAACTAACTTGAATACATATTGTATCAACTGCTAATGTTGCTGCTTTTCCTCTTCATCCCTTTCTTCAGATAATAAATAGATGTCCAGGGAAATGATAATTCCCCTCTATGCGGCATTGGTGAGGCCACAGATGGAATACTGCATCCAGTTTTGGGTGCTGCACTTCAGGAGGGATGTAGATAACCTTGAGAAGGTCCAGAGGAGGGCTGCTCATATGGTTGAGGGCCTGCAGCTAAGACCCTGCGAAGACAGACTGAGGGACCTGAATCTCTTCAGTCACCACAAGAGAAGGCTGAGAGACGATCTTGTGGATGCCTACAAACTCACTGGCGGGGGGGAAGGGGGGGCAGCAGGGAATAGGGGGTACTCTGTTTACCAGGGCGCCCCTTGGGGTTACCAGAAATAGTGGCCACAGACTGAAGGAAAGGAGATTTAGACTGGACATAAGGAAGAAATTCTTTATGGTGAGGGTTGCCAAAATATGGAATGGGCTTCCAAGGGAGGTGGTGCTTTCCCCGACCTTGGAGGTGTTCAAGAAGAGATTGGATAGGCATCTGGCTGGGGTACT